CATTGAAGGTCATCATACTAAGTGGTTAAGTGATGAACAGAAAGACAAATATTAAATGATCTCATTTGTATGTGGAGTATGAAAAATTAGATCCTGTAGAAATAGAGTGTAGAATGGCAGTTACCGGAAGGAGTGGGAAAGGGGTGGTTAAAGGGAGGATGTCAGACAATGCATACCATATTTGTAGGTTAGGTTCAAGACATTTATTTCACAGCTGGAAACTCCTCTAATTTCAATGTATTATGGTGTTTTTAATTGCGGGCCTAACGAGTTTTAAGTATCGTCACCACAGTTTAAACAAAGCACACAAAGTATTCCAAAAATTAGTTGTCTGCATGTAGTCATTTTGCTTCACTGTGCATGCAAATTTCAAAACATATCAACATATTGACAAATGTGGAAAGATGTTTAATTTTTAATTTAAAACTGTTCAAAGGCTTTAACTGCTGTATGTGAGAGAGGAGGCTGGAACATTAACTGGAAGCACTTCACAGAAGTGGAAGACCCTTCCTGTGACCATAGGCTCTGATAGCGAACACCCATTCACGAGTAGACTGACTTTTGAAGGTGCTACCCTCTCTGCCATTAAAGGGCAAAGCCAGGAGCATAAGCATAAAAGTCATTGAGCTCTTGTTCATACTAGTTTAGAGCTGACGATTCTGGTCTCTCTGCCAATTTCACCCAGATAATTGCACAAGGGCACAACGACAAGGCCTGTGCAGCAAATGTGGTCCAGTAAAGAAATTCATGTAGTGCTCTCCACGTCCACCCTCTTGCTGGTATTACGGAGATGTTGCACTCTGCTTGGTGATGTTATCTAAGGGCTGTCAAACCATGCGCAGGAAGCCAGCTTCCTCTCAGAAGGGGAAGGGCTTTACCAGCTCCTTCCTTCAACTTGAGCACTTGAGTTTATTAAGGCAGTACGGTATTTATCAAGCCTTTCAGTCAAGGATACTAAATTTTGAAAATTTAAAGTATTTGTATGGAGGAACTGTAAAAAATACCTTTCAGACATTGCTAACTTTTAGAATGCAAATCAAAACCATGATTTACCTTAGAGAAACTCCATGTAAACGACAGAGAAAGATCATAAGGATAGAGCAAGAGAAATGTCTGCTTCTAATCAGCGTGGCAGCGTGTCTTTAAATCCATTGTCAAACTACCTAATAAGGTAAAATAAATAACTGAATGCTACTTGCAATTTCTGAATAGCATCAGTCATTACCAGCTGCCTTGGGCTTTTCTGGGCTATCAAATAATTATCCTCTAGTCAGTACAGTACTGAAGAACTGCCCTTTGTAAGTTGGGGATATTTAGCTTCGGCTTTATTTCATTAGGTTTATCTGTAAATCAGAGCAGGCAGCTGTCACTTATTGAACATAAGGATAAAGTATGTTTCTATTTTAAACATGGAAGTCCACAGTGAATGTCTTATAAAAAATATTGTAGCCCTAACTGTCAGGTCTGGTCTGTAAGCCCCAAAATGCACAGTCGGTTAAAGGTAAATTCTTTGCCTGCGCTTGAACTAAATCCACCAGATTTCACCATTAATAAAGAAGAAGTCTATAGTTATAGATTGATTTGCTTTTTGGATGCATGTCATACCTGAAAATGCTAAAATAAAACTATGGACTACTTTGGGAAAAGATCCAAGCGCAAAGTCTGATGGAATCAGAAAATGGTATCAAATGGTATTTGTTGACAACAATAATCTACAGAAGAGAGAGAAATTTTTGCATTCTGACAATGCATATAGCAACATTGCTTTGGAATATGCGTCCTTCACATCCCACTCTTCAGCATGAGAACTTGCCTGCATTATGTTTCTTAATGTTAACAAAAGAGTTATTCAGAACATAGGCAATGAAAATCCTCCCTGCGGGAGAAACATTGCTGTGATCAGATAGAAAAATGAATGAATCAAACTTGAATGAAAGCTGTGCACCACGCGTAGCATACTGAGTATGTAGAGTGTTCATTCAGGGTAGCTGTAGTGTTCTCAGTTCAGACACCCCCCCCCCTGCCATGTGCTGTCTGGTTTCTGTCTCTGCGCCTGATGAGAAGCAGGCCTGTGATCCTGTCTCTGTGCATTCAGCATGGAGCCATCTCTTTGATGCTGTAGAGAACGAGAGCAGCATCCTTTGCCTACAGTAGTTCCACTGCTTACTCAGTCCTGCTTCTCCTACGCCTTTCAGTTAAGGCCAGATGCTTGAGGAAATCATGGCTGAAAGAAGACAAAGGCAGATTTGGAACACACCAATAAAGTTTGGATAGAAAGTGAGGCTCTTGGGTTAGAACGATGAAAGATCTTGAGATAGAGCATTTATTCAGATCTGGGGCCCCAAGTGCTTCACTGGCCTCAGCTTGGGGACTGGCTCTGCCTTTGGTACAAGTGTTTAGAGAGACAGAAGATGAAGAAAAGCCTGACCAGAAGAGTTAAGGGAAACGAGGGTCAGGAAATCAAGATGATTTTAGGACTACGTATTCCTAAAAGGGAACACGTGGGAGGAAAAGGCAGACAGAAACCGTAAAGTAGGGCCACCAAAGACAAACTGCACATTACTACGTTTGCTAGGTCAAAGCTAGAAGCGATGTACAGGAAACAGTGAAACAGCTGGGTGGGTAGCTGCCAAGCCTCCTGAGCTGACTTTGAGTTCCCAGAGCCATGTGGTAGGAGGAGAGAGCCGATTCCTGCAAGTTGTCTTCTGAGTTCAACATGCGTGTTGTGCTTTTGAGCATGGGCATGGCCATTAGTACGTACTACATGCTTAGCCATACACATAAACATGAATAGACAAATGAATAATCATAATGATAAAAACGTTTAAAAGAGATGGCACAGCACCTTCCTTCGTCACGGAGAATACGGTACCACAGTGCTACCCAGAAAGAAATTACAAATGTCAAACCCCATAATACCAGGATTTATTTCTACACATACATGCTATGATAAAGTGTGATTTATAAATTAAGAGGTATTAATTAAAAATAAAGCAGAAAATATTTAACAAGTCTATAATAAAAGTTGCTAAAAACTTCTCTTTTTACCTTTTGTTATTTCCTATTTAATATATTTGGACTTCAATTAAGTATGTTTAACTGAGGTGGCAAAACTCGGATGGATGACAGACTCCTTCAGAATTCCAAACACAAGAACAAAATTATTGTGGTCATTTCATAATTCATGACATAAGGGATTCTTGACTGTGACTTGTGGGAAAAAAAGCTATGTTGTTTTTTCATTATATCCGAAATGGTTTACTTCTTAATCTTTTACTAAGAGTGAGATTTTCTCTTCTCATACCCATTGCTATTTGCTTCTATGTTTTATTATTTAATCCCAAGCTATTTATAACAGAGACCTTAGTCACCAATGAAATATTGTTTTCTAGCACATAGTTGGGGCCAAACAGAGACTAAATAAATAACTGCTTGATTGATGAAATTGGATTGCCTTCGTCTTGCTGTTCTAGCTAGAAATAATTTACAGTATTTTAATCACATTTCTCTCTTCCTTTTTGCTTCCCAACTGGATAAAACAGAAAGAAAGAAAAAAAAAGTTGACTTTAAAAGACCTGAGGCAGAAAATATACTTTGAACTCAATAGCATTTATAAAATAGCATAGAATCTGGGGCTGAAGAGATGGCTCAGAAGTTAAGAGCGTATGATGCTCTTTCAGAGGATCTGAGTTCAATTCCCAGCACCCACATGGCTTCTCACAACTGTCTGCATCTCCGGACAGTCCCGGGGAACCAATGCCCTCCCTGGCCTATGCAGGTATTGCATATGCCTATGGTATAAAGACATAACTGCTTATAAAATAGCCATATACATAAAAATAAATGGGAAAAATTAGTCTCATGTTTTGATCGATTTTGAGAATACTTTATATATACTAGATTGGAAGTCCTGTATCAGGCATGTTTTTTACAAAAATTTTGTCTGCAACTTGTAGCTTGTCCTTTGGTTCTTTTTCAACAGTGCCTTTCAAAGAGAAATTCTTGATTTTATTAAATCCAATGTAATATTCCTTTGCTTAAGAATTGGTAATGATCTTTATCATTTTATAATTTTTAAAATCATTTAGTTATAATTTTATAAAATATGTAAAGTTTAGTTATAATTTTAAGAATTGTTTATAATACCCAAGAAAATACTTGTGTTCCCAGGATTACAAAGATTTCCTACATATTTTTTTTCTTCTAAAAGTTTTTTTACACAAAGGATAATTATTTACTTCACTTTTTTTGAATTGTCATTCTTCTCCAGTTTTTCTGTTACCTTGTGGTGAAAGAGACTACAGATTCTCCACCCAATTTTCAACAATTGTTTGTTGGTGAGTGTCTGGGTCTGTTACTGAATCCTCCATTCCCTTTCACCACTCTGTGCATGTATGCTTTGGTTACCCCTGTAGAGTGTCGATTTTTGTACTTAAGAAGCCTTAGGATCAAGCAATGCATTCTTCAATCTTCGTTCTCATTTTCCAAAACAAATGACACATATTCGAATTCTTTTACTTTTTCATATAATTTTAGAACTAATAAACACTGATCAAAGACATTAAACTTCCTACCACTGATCCTACAAATCTTAGAAATGTAGGGATGTTGACTGTCTAGAGTTACCGATAACTCAACAGGTAAAGAAGTTATGCAGTCCCTCCTGCATAAAGGAAATACCCCCCAGTTACACTCAAGAGAGATGATATTACAGCTGCTCTTTGTTGTCAAGTTTTGTGTGGAATAAAGAATGGGTCTGACAAGAGAGCCGTTCATGCATACTCTTACACACACAATCATTTTGAGGTTAAAATTCCTGGTCTGTCTCACAACTAATAAGGGCATTTCTGAAATGCCCAGGAGTCTTGTCATATGCAGTGAGCTAGAACTCATTAATCATAAGCGTGATTGTCAGGCAGATTTCAGGCATTTCTCTGCTATGTGCATTTTCTTCCATGTTACCAGCTAGCACAGGACATTTAAAAGGGGAAGATATGTACCTGGTTGGCTTGTCAGTCCTGGGAGAGATTCCTGCAGCTGGTAAGTTGAGGCTGATGATGATGAGCCATCAGCTGTGCTGCTCGACGGCATATATGCCCCGTAGGTTGACGCTGAGTAATACTGAGCATATTGGTTTTGGCCAAAGGCTGTGTAGGATGGGTATTCCTGAAACAAACAAGTGAGGTGTGTGGGTACAGAAGAGTAATTAACATCTAGGATAGTCCAAGCAAGCAAGCATATACCATCACCATGGGACCTAACTGATCTGTTTCCATCTTCATTTGCTTTCCAGTCCCTGACTTGGAATTGATGCTCACGAGTGGAGCCTATCTTCTGTGCATCTCACACATGCAGCACTAACCAATTTCTCTATTAGGTTTGCCAATCAGGTCTAATACATGAACATGAACCTGGCTGATGGGGTTTTATGCTACTACAATTAAGCACAGAGGGGGAAGAGAAGAGGTACTCAGCTCGTAGTCATTCAGTCCATTCGTACACATTGCCTAACAACATTGACAAGAAGGAGCTGCAGGAACTCCTGGCTTTTACACAAACCTCAGTGTGTACTTTTTTATTTAATTTTTTTTTCATTTTGTCTTCATGGCAGGCATTTAAAAATAAATAAACAGGTTTCCCAGGCACCACAAGGTACCTGCTGCCTGTGGCTTAACTTAAAGTCTTCAGTAAGGTTTTAAAAAATATTTAACTTTTTCTCTTTTTCTGCACATAAAAATGAAAGCATTGAACCAACTCCCCTGACCTGTTTTCCATTAAAAAAAGAACCTTAAGATGATGAAAAATGATCCTCTGATAGCCTTTTACATATTAAGATGATGAGTAAAGACTTGTGATAAATGGTGTTTAATATATCTAGCATGGTTTAGCCAAAAATGTTATCAGTGATGACAAATCCTTGGTCAGGATGAAGATCCCCTGTTGTGATAAGTTCTGAAGGGAACAAAGATCCATATTTGATGTCATTTCCAAAAAAGAAAAGTCTCTGTATAAGTAAATACGTGTATTACCAGGAAGCATTAAGTAATATAGCAGAAAACTAAATTTATCTTAGCCTGTTCATATAAGGATCTGATGTTCCCCGTCAAATTCCGTGAGTCAAATAGAAAGCTTCAAAGTCTGAACAAAGCATTTAGCAGCACTTCTTTCCCAGAGTGAAACAGTAATGATAAGCAAAAATGCTAGTTTTGGGATGTGACATTGTTCTATTGGCTTAATAGACTTGCTTGCCCACCACTCAGAACCGTGTCTGAGGCATCATTATTACTGGCATTTTATATCAAAAACTATGAAGGCACAGAAATTTTTTTTTTGCTAAAAATATTTATTTTTTAAAATATTATTATTATTATTATTTATTACAATTTATTCAATTTGTATCCTGGCTGTGGCCCTCTCCCTCGTCTCCTCCCAATCCCATCCTACTCCCCCACGCACCTCTCCTAGTCCACTGATAGAAGAGGTCCTTCTCCACTTCTATTTGACCTTATCAGGTCTATTTGAGACTATCAGGTCTCATCAGGCCTAGTTGCATTGTCTTCCTCGGTGGCCCAGCAAGGGTGCATCCCCCAAAGGGCGGCAATCAGAGATCTGGCCACTGAGTTCATGCCAGAGAAAGTCCCTGCTCTCCTCACTAGGGACCCCACCATTCTGGTCACAAAGCTCAAAAGTTTCTACGCTGGAATTATAAACGAAGGTGTCAAATCTAGCATCTGTGTGCTGTAATTCTGCCAGTCTGCCTGTCCTCTCTAGAAAAGAATGGTACAAGCCAGGAATATATGACATTGGCCTTTGGGTAAAGTGATAGCTTTTGGTATCCAAATATATCTCCAAGATTCCCCCACTTCTTTCTACTCTTACTACCTTTATCTAAGCATTCTTCATTTCCTGTTAAAGGTATTATGAGTGTTTTCTAATTTGTCTCATTTTCTTTTGTAGTTCCTTTGGACTGATTGTTTCAAAGTACAAATTATATTAAATTCTATTCAAAACCATTAATATCTTTCCCATGGTTCAAGACTACCCTTACTGAAGCCTCCAAGGCCCTATATGATTAGGCCTGATCTTCTTCCATGAGGAAGCTATAGGATCTTATGTGACTAGACCTAGTCTACCGTTTTCTGTGGTCTCTCTCCCCATTCCCCTCATGGATGACCTAGACTCCAGACCTCCTTCAGTTCAAGATCACATTGAACCTTGCTGTCTTTTCTCCCTGTAACTTCTTGTCCACATTCATGACCTCATTCTGATGAATCCTAACCTAATCACAGCTCCCACAGGAAAGCTGTGCACAATACTCTCCTGTGGAATACTAGATTTCTGTGAACATTTTAGCGGAGATTTTTTGTTTGTTTGTTTCCCTGCTATTTTGCTGTCTGCTTCACTTGGTAGACTGAAAGATTCATGAGGCAGGCATGAAGCCTGTGCAGTCATACCACCATCCTTAGGACCCCAAGTGTATAGACTTTCCTACGTTTATTAGGTACTCAATATTTTTAAAAATGAGAAATTGGTACTTAAACCTCAATCCAAAAATACAATTATAGTCTATACAGATCCAATGTGAATCCTCAAACAGAATTCAATCCATTTGTGATCAAACCTTTGTAAAGTTTTCCTCTCCTTTGCACATTGTTTTTATCTTTTCAGGGACAAAAGTGTTTTGTTTATGTTGCCTTTGTCAAGGGTGTTTCTCGGTGATCATAGCCATCTAGTCTCACTTCTGAATGTTTCATATGTTGTCTGTTTCCTTAGGAAGACTATGTACATTGAGAGAACAATAAACAAAGAATTAACTATTTTTGAACTTTAACTGTCCAGTCAAAGATATTTTGTATATCAAGTGATCAATGAATGCCTGCTGCGTTAATACATAAAATTAAACTAGCACAAAGTATAGTGCTATAAGGTACTTTTAAATTAATGCCAAATTGTATAATTTATATCTTCCAAATATTTTAAATCCATACTATTTTAACAAAAATTCCTTGGGGCCTTTTGTTATGTTACTAAGACTACAAGAAGGCAATAATAGAATTCTTTTATTAAATCTAAAGAAAAAGCATTTGTGAAATAACTTACATTTTAGAAAGTGTATCAAAATAAAAGAGTACGCTGTCTGTCTAGAAATCAGTTTCCTTTGGGCCCCAATCATTCTGAACATGGTTGAGAATCAGGAAACAAGAATGCATTTCCAAAGTGTCAGCATAATATTGGTTCATTTGTGCTCAAAGAGGCTTAAGTAGGGACATTTACACAAATCCCACATGTAATTCTCTCATTCTAGATTTTTTAAAATCCATGAAAACACTAACAGAACATGATGAAGAGAAGAAGGGCTACTAGAGGCAGGCTAAATGACCAAAAAGAAAAGCAGAGCTGCCAGGAAGGTGGGAATCAAACATTTATAGAAAGAAACATAAATCTAAATAGCAGAACCAAGAGTAGTTCAACAGGATTTTTAGCTACAAACTGCTATACTTGATTCTGTCTTAGAGTGCACATCACAACTTTATAATTATTCTGATTCAGTTTATTAAGTAATATTATATTACATATAAGTAATACCTATTGAGAAAAATAAATAAAATGGTATCTACTATAGGTTAAGATAAAAACATATACTATATTCCACAATAACATGAAAACTGAGTAAAATGACTATAACTCAGCTCTTTAATGGGCAAACTTTTAACAGTCAACAAGATTAACAAATACCCAATAATTCCAATTAGCTAATTTTTTTTTTTACTCTGCTGAATATTTATCTTAGGTTTAATTTTAAAAAGACGCCTTTTAAGACCATGTACACTTAGAAGGAAACAAAAAAAAGAATGTTTTTAAGTTCAAAATATAAACGTATCCACATTCCTAAATTATTAATAAAATTGTATTAAAAGCAGATGACAAAGGAGAAGAGATCCCCTTTCAGTGGACTAAGGGAAGGGGATGGAGGAAGAAGGAGGGAGGGTAGGACTGGGAGAGAGGGGCCTTCAATCTGGATATATAATTAATAAATTGTAAAAAATAAAATGTATCCACGGCAAAAAAGAAAAAGAAACTAAGAAACTCCTCCTACACCAGGCATGGTGGCACATACCTGTAATCTCAGCAGTCTGGGAGGCAGAATGAGGTGGATCTCTGTGAGTTTGAGGCCAGTCTGCTCTACAAAAGCAAGTCCAAGACACCCAAGGCTACACAGAGAAACCCTGCCTTGAGAAACAACAACAACAAAAATTCCTTCTACTCCTCCCATAGTCTTCCCATGGAAGTGCTTCCTAACTGTGTGTCCAATACCAAGAGTTCAAACTTAAAATAAGATTATACAGTCAGAGCAGGTTATATATGCAGGAATATATATCCAAAAGTAAGAGAAAGAGACCATCAATTTGTGAGAGAGCAAGAGGGGGGGAGCTTATGGGAGGAGCTGGAGGTAAAGGGAGAAGGGATAAAATGGTGTAATTATATTTTAATTTAAAGAATAAAAATAAATTTAAAAATTCCATGGCCAGCTTTTGATCACTTCCTCCTGGTGAGGTTGCCTAACTAGGCCACAGAGGAAGAGGACGCAGACAGTCCTGATGAGACTTGATAGGCTAAGGTCAGATGGAAGGGGAGGAGGTTCTCCCCTATTAGTGGACTAGGGGAGGAAGAGGGAGGGAGGATGGGACCAGGAACAGATGAGAGAAGGAGCTACAGCCAGGATACAAAGTGAATAAATTGTAAATAATAATAATAATAAAGAAAAAATGAAAAATAAATGGAAAAACCAAGAATACTAGAAGGGTAGAGACAGAGGCCTCAAACTTCACATGAAAAAAAATAAAAGAATTATAAATTATGAGTAACTATAAATCACAAATTGAGGAAACCAAAAGTCTTCAACAGAAATTTTAAAGAAGTGTAAAACCACCGTACCTGTTGTGAGCCACTGAAATTTGTTGAATTGGAAACGGAATTATTTGCATAAATAGTAGAAGATGGTGCAAAACTGGAGCCTAGAGGGAAAGACAAAACGCACTTTAACAGTTTTGATATTCATTCATCTGGAAAAGGGAATGAAATTTAGTCACTTGTGGCAGTGTGGATGGACAAGGAGGACACTGTGTTAAGTGAAGTAAGCCAAGCACAGAAAGACACATGACACACAAACCCCCATCGTGTGTAGAATTCCATTCAGCCAGTCTTGGAGAAGTTTAGTGGACAATGGAGGGTGCAGAGAGTGCAGACAGAGATGCCAGTCAGGGTCTCCAAGCAAGTCAAGAGATAAGTGCTGATATTCTATTAAGCAATGGCTGAGAATAACATAGGTGGCAAGAAAGGTACAAGAATGGATTATGAATGTGCTCACTGCAAATAAATTATGAAAGTTTGAGGATATACACCCAGGCAGGTGCATTACACACCGATCCTCACGTCTACATTTTATGCCAAATTAAAATATAGGTCAAAGTAACACCCTCCCCCACTCAGGAAAGAGGTACAATTATTAAGTATGATTTAGAAAATAAAGTTTCTATTTAATTAGTCATTTTTGTGACGTAATTAAAATATCTCACTTTATAGAATTCGCTGAGAGAAACATTACTTGAGTTTTGTTGTAGTTACCACGATTGGAGAGAAGATGGGTTCAATTCTAGCCCCCTCCTGACGGCAGATGACGGTTTGTAAGGCAACCTGGAAAGCAGTCCTGCCTGCACTGTGAGTGATCTCACAACATTCACTTAGAAAGGCATCAGGCTTCTGCCTGCCAGGCCTGGGGGCTCGAGGGCTGCTTTGCTTGCTCTTCATTTCCTGCCCAAGCTTAACCTGGAGTCTTTGTGATTGCTATGAGTCATGTTTCTCCACCTGGATGTCGCCGTTTCCATCATGCTTCTGCCTAGTTACCCTTCTTCCCTTAGGAAGTTGAGACTGAAAACCGGCTGGCTTTGTGACTCACTCCTCCTAAGTCTGAAGTCACAGAGTCACGTTTAAAAGAATCCCCCCCCCTTTTTTTTAAATTGTCAGGAACATGTTTTAAGGCTGGGCTCGTACCTGGCATTTGGTAAGAATAAGGTGTCTGGCCCGGCTGTGGGGTAGAGAACCCGGGGCTGTAACTGAGGCAGCCACTCTGTAACGGGGACTGAGTTTGGGGAAGCCCACTCTCGGTCTTGATGGCTGGCAACATCACACCAAGATCTGCTTAGAGAACACACAGGCAAAGGGCTTGGTTAGAAGGACCATCTATCTCCCTCAAAGCTGGACCTGGTCACCAGGGGTTACCTGAGAAGAAGAGTTACCTACCGTAAGCAGGCAGACTGTAGGGCTGGCCTGTCTGCGAGTAAGCTGTGTAGACGGCGGGCTGCTGCATCCCAGAATACTGAGTCTGGCCTGCGTAGGCCGACATTGTTTGAGCTGCTGGTGTAGAAAGAATGTGTGGATAGGGCCTAAATATCAGAAAAATAGCATTACTGTGGCAACAAAGACTGCATATTAATTCAGACAGCTTAGATTCACCCAGGGAGGGATCCCCCTCCTTATCCCCAACTTGTCAGAAATGAATAAAAGTTAAAAAAAAAAAAAAAGAATAACTTCTTATAAAGGAGCCCAGCCTGGGACCCTGCACCAATCATTTAAAGGCTTAAAGAGTGCATCAGATCTGTAAAATCAGCAATCGGGTTTAGAGTGTCCTCTAGGTCTGCAGTTTTTACTTTCATCTGCACAGCACACTTGGGGAAGAATGGTCGTAAGCCAGCCAATGAATGTACCCAGAACATATTCACACCCAACTATAAGTGTCCCAGAGATACATACTAACTACAAAAGTCAGCTCAATAGCCCTTCTAGGCATTTCCTACTCTAAGTTAGAAATCTGAGAAAAGGGAAGCATCTCCCTGTGAAGAAAAGGAATGGCCTTCTCTTTGTCAGGTCCCTTTTGGAACCTAGTCCTTAGCTATACTCAAGGCAGCCTGGACGTGGAGTAACATAACATATTATATTATAACGTGCATGCATAGGTGAACTTGAATCTTGACATATCTCTAAACAAACAAATTCAGATATAAACCCATTTGGCCCAATATAGCTAAATCTGAAAATTTGAACTATCTGCCCTACCCTCCAAAAACATGACTATGCTAGTTAATTAAACACACACACACACCAAACTCTCAAAAGTATAACTTACTGGAACTTAGAGTCCTAGAAAATATCTCAGTGAAAGACTGGATTATAAAATATTGATGTTTGGGTAAAATATGATCTCTATATGTTTTCTTTTAACTAATTACTGTTTCTTGATTTTTTTTCCTTAAAAATAGAGCATAAACTTATATTAAATCCAAACTCAGTGCATATTCACTTAAATACTAAAATACACTTTAAGTTTTATCTATTATTCTTGTAATTTGCATCAAATGACAAATTTACTTATTTTTAAAGTAGCATACCGAATCATTCCACACTAAACTTTCAAAGTGAATACCTTGTATAGTAGAAAACACCATATGTTTTAAAGAAAGCTCAAACACTTGAATTTTAAAACAATAAAAATATTCAAGTGTCCTGATTTGAAGAATTTGGGGGCTTTATTTTGTCTCTCTGTTTCCGGTCCTCCCCAGAGCATGAAAGCATCAGGGAGGAGAGGAATCATTCAGGTAAATGGGAGGTTTCTATTTCTGATTCTTTCACAGCTCACTTCACATCTATTCAGCTTCAATAGTCATATGCATCAATGTGTCCAATTTAATGTTGCCGTAGCAGGTGACTATAAATTGGCACTTACTTGGAGGGGTACAGCTGTGGGGAATACTGATGTGCCGATCTGGGGCTGTAGCCGCTACTTGTTATTACTACAAGACACAAAACGACAGTGCACAAAGCATCGCTTCATGAACGCATCTTCAGTAGGGAGCACACAAGCTACTTAAGGAAACTGCCGGTTAAATACACACTTCTTAAAGCTCATTCACTTTGTAAAACTCATTTCACAAGGAAGCAGGTAATGACACACTGTCTGCGTTCCAAAGTGTCTCAGGAGTATAAAGTGTCCATTTCTCCCACGGTCACCGCTAGCCTTCCATTTTCTCAGGTCGGTGCCACCCTTTTCTGCACTGACAGTTTATTGGCAAATGCTTTTGATTACGTGGTAAACTTTCATAGTACGAAAGCCAGTGTTTTAAGTGTGCAAACTCTACAACTTAAAACCCGCATACAATACTGATATACGGATTCCGTATTTATTCTAATTACAATAAAATAATTGTTAAGAAGTTTGAGGTTTAAACTTTCATTCTCCGATTGTAAAAATGCTACTGTTTCCAATTTCCTTCCATCCTATGAATCAGATGGGTGCTAAAAAATTGACAGTCAGAGTTCTAGGAGCAGTTCTAGGAGCAGGAATGTGCACAGGCGGCCCATAGGTCACTTCAGTTTTAGCAGTGTAAAATGTTGTACCAATTATATTTTCAGCCATCAAAGATAATATTTTTCGAAGAGGACCTTATAAGGGAAAGTCAGGTTATTTTAATAATATTTCATCCAAATATGCACCCCGCGGTGGAATGTACCCGAAAGTTTGGAAGTCTTTCTCCCCTTTAGCCATCTGCCTTGACTATGACAGATGTGCTGCACATCTATAGATCCTGATGTGTTCACCCAGTTCCCTCCGAGCCGGTCCACACTGGGCAAGCACACAGAGTGTCTTTATTAGGCCATCTGCTGTTCATTCACATTTCAAAAAGATTAAAGTCGTACACAACACAGTGTTGGCATGCGTTTAGTCTAATCAATCATAGTGAAACTTCAAAGCACTACATCCTCTCTGAGTTGTTCATATGAACGTTGGGGCTAAACTTTCAGAATGGCAAAAAGTGACAAATAGGTTTAGGTTGCTGGCTCATTTGAGCAATATGATAGGTTCCCATGTCCGACCACTGTCAAGTGCCCCTGTGAGCGTCATGGATGTGAGTGAGCAGTGTGCTAAAAAAAACCCTCTCTACCTGGTACGTGCAGAATACGGAAATCAGACTTTATTTTCCATAGCAATAGTGAAGTAAGAATAAGGGCTCCCAACATTATAAATCAGTTTTGAAAGTCATCAAATGTGACCACAAAGGTGTTAAGTTCTAAACATTTTGGGAACTTAATACAAGTGAATTTTCTACTTGTAGTTGGAAATAAAACATTATTTTTCTCTTAGTTTCTTCAAAACTAGAAAGAATTAAAAAAAATCCTTGAAATCAAATTAGTGAAAATAGACATTTGCACTATATTCCATGGGAACTAAGTGTGCATTATTCAAATTTCCATGGTGTAGAATATTATAATAGAAACTGGGTTAAGAAAGATTTAATTCCACTTTGTTTTTTTCTGATTTTTGATAGGATTCCATGCTGCACAATCAAAACCTCAGCTGTCCATACTGACAGGCTAGCCTCAAGATGGAAAAACTGAGGGGATTTCGAATAAGACAAATAAGAAATATTAACTTGTAACATCGTTTATTAAATTAGACAGAACAGAATTCTATATTTCAGAAAAGATCCATAGACACAAACAGCATTCTGAACATATAGAATGTATTTTCCCTTCAGTTAATGACTCTAGAATAATATACTCCAAACACTGTAAAGGCTTGATTGACCTTTGAATCTTTATATTAATATCTATAAAATACATAGGAGAGAAAAACCTCTGGTTTAGAAAACCAAGATGATTATAAATCCTATAATCTTATTCAAATTGTTAACTTTCTAGAAAACTTAAGCAACAGCACATGGTTTAGAAAAAGCTGAGATTATGTTGATCGCTGTTGAAAGTCTGTAGAAAGATATGCAGACTGCTTTATGAAAACCCAAATACCTTTGTGTTATGCCTCACTGCTATATACTAACTCATATATTCCTCAAAGCACTGGACTCATTACTTTTACTGTGTTTTATGGTTTCTACAAACAGAAGAAGAGCCGGTTACCTCTGGGATATCTTCACAATTGATTTCGTGTCTGGTAATGCCTATTACCAGTTTCTCACAGAATAAGATCAAGGAATGTTCAGGCTCTTACTCTACTATGACTTTAAAAACTTAGCATGTCTCGTGAAGAGGAGAAGCTGTGGGGATATTCAGCTGGGTAGGAGATGTTTTGCAGCACCACAGCCAGGGCACCTCTGATGTTTGTATTAGATGCAGACTGCTGCTGAGTGCCTCACACTGCAACCTGCAGCTCCCTCAGAGTCCTCATCTGTGGAGAAGGGCCACCCTAGACCACTGCAATCCAAAGGAGTTTTCACCAGTGTTCGGTGTGTTTTGCGTCTAAGTTTTCTCAGGTAGCCACTAATCACGGGTAGGAACTGCATAATTGGAGCGTGGCTACTTTAACCGGAAACAAATTTTGTTTTGTTTCCCTGAATTTTAATTTATTGGAAGTAGCTACTTTACCTAGACCATAGAGCCCTAGAGACTTCTTAGGAGAACTAACAAAGTGTCTTTAGAGGTGGTATGAATGGGTAACAAGTAGGATGACTCCTTAGGCACATCCTTAGGCGCATCCTTAGATGCATCCTTTCCCGATGCAATACCAGCAGGAGGGGTGGTTGTCAGCACATGGTAGCTTGAATATGTAGCCAAACCACTCTGGACATCTCTGAAGAGTTTAGTGGTATTCTTATTTGTAAAATGGGCCACACAGTGCTAAAATTACCTCTGGAGTGAACAATCTGTACACTGGTCGTTCATCTTTCAAAGAACTTGTATGTTCCTGAAGCCTAATAGCAGCTACTTAATAATCTCATACCCTCCCCACAAATCATTCATATGCATTTATTTTGTAGTTACAGTTAGTGGGCACGACAGAGTAATGTAATATGTTGGTGCTTATTTATCTCCTGTGAGCCAGGTGAGCTGCTGAAAATAACGCACATTGGCTCACATGAGTCTTTATGCCAAGCTGGTTCACAGATTTTATTTTTGTCTGGAGTACTAATATTTATGTGCACATATGACAACTGCTCCAATTGGTGTGAACTAATAAAGTTAGATCATCTGTCTCCATAAAAGTGAAATATATTTTATAACACTATATTAGACTCAAAGGCACACCTTAACTCTCTCTACATAAAGCACACCCACATAAAATCCTTGCACATGAGGACATGGATAAACACAAAATATATTAAATCAGAGTTGCAGAACCAAGATTTAACTGCCATAACACTTTTCTGGGTTTCATGTTTATCTTTCTTGGGTTGCTTTCCAAACTTTTATTCATTAGATAATAAGCCATACAAAAATAGTCATTTAAAGAGAGCCTTTAAGTCAACTTAATTTGTACCCTTTATGCCCAGCTGGGAGTTATCAGGTATTTATATTTAAAAAGGATTGATGTTTAAAGACATACTATTGTTCTCTTTGAAGCACAGGACTACTCTCCCAGGCTGGGTTCTAATGTAACCAGCATGTGTTCTCCAGAAACCCATTAACCTTTAATACTTGTCATTCAGCTGCCTACACAGGAGGACTTTCTTAAACCCAGAGAGGAAACAAGGTTATTTAGAAGGAATCAAATGGATAGTTTTACATCTAGAAGGGAGGACAGAAGGCAGTTTTTAATGTAATTTAAATGGGCAAGTTGAAGGAACAAAGTTAGCTATTATGAACCTAATTATTAGATTGATCAAGCAGTATATAAAATAATGAAGAAAGTTGGCTCTGCTAATGAGAAAGTCATGGGGTTGCTACAGTGCAGGCTGAAGAGTCGGCAAAAGGATTCCGAACACCGTTTCTAAGAACACGTAATTTTAAGACAATTAGTTCTTCATAAAAGTGGGTTTCTGGCTGACTTCATAATGGTGAAAACTCTTACAGCTTTGAGCCTGTGCCGTTCTCAAGCAAGAGGAAGTGGAAGGACCCCAGCGTGGACACAGAGACACGAGCTAAAGGCTTTACCTGACCCAGTAAAAGTGTCAAGCGCTCCATCTCCAGTCGTGGTTGTGGTCTCACTGCTGTTCAAGGGCTCAGTTTTGACTGCAAGAAGAGACGCTACGTAGAAGAATAAGTACATGTGAGTTTTACTTCTAAAGTCGTAGCAAAGTCCCTGGCTGCCGGTGATATACATAGATCATACGTATATGATCTATCTATCTATATATTTCTTTTTTAACTAGCTATCATGGGCATGCAAGAGAAAACTTAAGAAGTGAATGAGGAAAGTTTTGTTAATTTGGCTTCCAGCTGGGCATGCATTCGTAAAGGATTTATTCTAAAATCCTCCACTGGGCTAGGTCTGAGAGTCTGGCTTTTAAAGGCAGTGGGCCTTCAAAAGTAAAACAGCAGCACTTAGATTTGCATTAAAAAAACACACAAAAAAAAAACCTCTTATAAGCACACTTTCACACAGTTAACAGACAGAAAGAAATCATCAGGGTCCTGGTCACAATTAATTCAAGTCACAACAAAGATATTTACAATCTTAGGTTTTATTCTCCCCAAGAAAATATTTAGAGAAATTTGCATTAGAGTCCAAGGAGGGAAACAGAAATTCAGGAAACCCTGATCCTATTCTCACTATAGGTTAAAAAGCACAAGGCACTCAATAAATATTCTGATAAAACAAACAAATAAAACACTGAAACAAGGATTCTTAAAGTTTTGGGTATTTTCTATTTATCAGGATAACATCTTGACAACATTGAGATAAGCACTTGTGAGAAATGATGTCTACAACATTGCACGTTTCTTCATAAAACGCTTGCCATGTGTCATTTTGGCAAAATCCTCCCGTGGCACTGAAGAAGGCTGGAACACACACGTCATCATTATCACATGCAACAGGGAGGGTAGTGATGACGCCTCTACCCATTTGGTCACACCATATTTTCCCTTTGTTGATGAAATCATAGCAGGCAGGGAATGAACGGAGTTACTTCTACTTTAACACCGCCCCTGTATCCTGGTTGTAAGTGGGCTGGTACAGGTAAGTAAACTTAGAAGCAAACAGGGCACTGGAGAAGGGAGTTGAATTCTAGCCAACCAGTGAGTCAGTATGCTAGAAAAGACAAGTGGGCTCATCCAGCACCCACCAACCGAGCAACTGAGGAATGTGACCCGGTTAGAGAAGCCTCTGCCTAAGGGGAAGCATGCAGAGTTTCTGCAGTAAACTCAGCCAAACCCTCACTGAGGTCTAGGTTTAGTAGGCACACTTGAATTGTAACATGAATTGTTAGAAGATTTGGAGAACTTTAAAGGTTGAATGCAGGAAGTGGCACACACACACACACACACACACACACAAGAATTACTAATTTTTGGAGAGGGGAAATTTAAGGCTAGCCTCTTTTTAATAGTAACAATAACTGGCTTAGTCTAGTTATCCGCATGACAATAAATAATTAATCTGTAGTTACTGCATTCAGCCATTTTTATTCACAGTGTTACCTGATCTACACTTAGCACCACAAAAGCTACTGACTCTTACAGGATTATTTATTATGCATTCAGACTTGACTGTGTTTTAGAACTCGTGCGTTCATCAAATCTTGATTGGAATCCCAATGGATCTTTGCACTCAGCATTTATGGTCTGTGCAGCACAACAGCCTGTGTGAAGTTGTCACAGGCAGACAGTCGCTCAGAGTATAACAAAAATGTGATTTCCTCTTAGAGTAATTCAAAATACTTCACTATAAGGAAAGCTGTAAAATATTGGGGTAGGCTACTCGGCTGTGCTATGTATGTTTTCCTCAAGCACTACTGTTTTAGAACACAGTGAAAAGTAGCATGGTTGAGAGTGGATGTAATAGCACTTACTCAATATGTGCCTAACAGGTTCCAGGCACTCCAGAGGAGTAGGGACCAATCGTATTAATGGTGAGCTAACTTATTCCAATAGCTGTGGGTGAACACTATGACCATTTTCACTTTTCAAATGGCAGACTGAAGCACAAAACACAGAATAACTCGCCCTGATCACATTGCTACTAAGAGCTCGAGTTTGACACAAGCAGGAGAACTGTCCCTCCTTCAAGCATCATGGGCCAGCTGGGATTCCCTTCTATCTGCGTAAAGATAACGCAGGGAATGCTCTGGATGGGTGTGAGTCTGCACGATTCAAGGTCCACATTAATTCTGACACCTATGACAAAAAGCGCAGCCCAGAGACTTCTGCAACGTGAAGACAAGAGACACCTGAGAGCTTCCAATTCTAATATGACTAAGTTCCCGTTTAGACATGTCTGTATCTGTAAACAGTATTGTAATGGGAATTTATTATCTCTCGACTAGGGTGTCTCCATTGTGAGATTGGAGGGGCAGAAAGGGAGCTGAGTTTGACAACACTGGTCTAGAAGCCAGACATGTTGATGGTGATTAGTTTTGTTACCATGGATACCGACCTTGAGAGGCGATTTAAGCATTACTCAGCATTGGTTTTGATTATAATTTCCTGAATTTGAAAGCTTCAGGCAGTCAAAAGGAGAAAGAAGACAAGAAAGAGAGGTTTGGTCCCATTCATAATACTGGTAACATCTTTTACTAATTTAAAAAGTCTGTGTGCTGGACGAAAGTGGTTTATTTTTCTGAGAAAAGCCGTACGCTGGGGAATGTGAAGAAATACAGAAATACCAAGCAGGGCTCAGTGTTCTAAAATGAGCAGATTTTAAAGTGACAAGTCAACAAAAACCAATACTGATATTTGGAAAAAAACATGTACATTAATGTCAGATTACCTTTTCTTTTCAGGTAATAGCAGCATAAAATAGAAAGGGGTGTATATTGTGGAATCTATCTAATTTGGAGAACTAAGCAGGGCTACATGTAAATTTATCCCAGCAGATAAATTAATTTTACAATATATTGTTTTTATCAAACTGCTTGAGGTGCTAAGGTAGGTGCTAAGCTGTTTTATTATTATCAGTTGAAGGCTATTCAATAATAATAACTAATCTAATTACTCTCAATGGCAGAAAGTCATAAACGTAAACCAATACTTTTTATATCATTAAAGTTGTCATGAAGACATTAGAAAGATATTAGAACAGTTTTCATACTATAACATATGTTAAGTAAGCAGAAAATATATATTACACCAAAACCATAAATAATCATTGATAATGGAAGTCATGTCCACTGGGCTTCCAAATGTATTTGGTTTACATTCAGTCTTTGTCTTGCTTTTGTTTCTGCATTTTTAATGAGATATAACATGTACAGCTCAAGTACAAAACTAATTTTTTAAACATTATGTTCATGGTGCTATGAGAAGAATATAAAAAGAATTACTTGTAGAATGCAACAAGAGTAGAGTTTGGGAGTAGGGGACTCTTTTCCCAAATCAATGACATCCAGAAACAAATTTACTATATGTGAGTTAGTCAGCTAAATGTTAAAAGTTCTTGGTGATTTCTTGACATCTATTTCAAATTTATAAAATACAACTGGTGACAATGCCTCTTTCAGGTTCCCCAAATCTTTTCTTTCAGACTTAAAAAAATTTTAACATAATTTTTTTAATTATTACAATTTATTCACTTTGTATCTCATCTGTAGCCCCACCCTCCCCCTCCCAATGCCACCCTCCCTCCTTCCTTCCTCTCCTTCCATGCCCCTTCCCCAGTCCACTGATAGTGGAGGTACTCCTCCCCTTTCATCTGACCCTAGCCTATCAGGTCTCATCAGGACTGTCTTTCATAGTCTTCCTCTGTGGCCTGGTAAGGCTGCTCCCTCAGGGGGAGGTGATCAAAGAGCCAGCCACTGAGTTCATGTCAGAGACAGCACCTGTTTCCCTTACTAGGAAGCCCATTTGGAGACTGTGCTGCCATGGGCTACCTCTGTGCAGGGGTTCTAGGTTATTTCCATGAATGGACCTTGGTTGGAGTATCAGTCTCAGAATAGACCCCTAGGCCTAAATTCTGTTGTTCTCCTTGTGGAGCTTCGACCCTTCCAGGTCTTTCTATCTCCCCCCTTCTTTCCTAAGATTTCCAGTACTCTGCCCAAAGTTGGGCTATGAGTATTGAATCTGCTTAAATAACCTGCTGGGTAGAGTCTTTCAGAGGCTCACTGTGGTAGGCTCTCGTCTTGTTCCTTGTTTTCACCTTCTTCCGATGTCTATCCCATTTGCCTTTCTGAATGAGGATTGATCATCTTACCCAGGATCCTCCTTCTTGCTGAGCTTCTTTCGGTGTGCAAATTTTAGTGTGATTATCCTATATTACATGTCTAATATCCACTTATAAGTGAGTATATACCATGTGTGTCTTTCTGCTTTCGGGATACTCACTCAGGATGATCTTTTCTAGTTACTACCATTTGCCTGCAAATTTCATGAAGTTCCATGAGGAATTAAATCATCTCTACACTGCAGCTGCTCATTCAGTGCAGTCACGTCAGGACTTTCATTGTCTTTCATTATCTGCTTCTCTTTGTGCAGTGTTTCTGTGTGTGAGTGGTCAGTGTCATATTGATTAGTGTACTGGGTTCTTGTGTTCTAGTACTGGGAGTAGAATATAATTGGGTCTTGATATGATTCAATTAAATAAGAAAATAAAAATTACTTTTTTTTGACATTGCCCTAAGAATTTCTGACAGATCTATGTATTTCTGTATTTGGTATATGTATGACTGAATCAAGGCCCCTGACACCATTTCAAAGATAGCATCCATTATGACCAAGTAGGCTTCATCCCAGGTATGCAGGGGTGGTTCAATATATAGAAATCCATCAATGTAATCCACCATATTAACAAACTGAAATAAAAAACCCACATGATAATTTCCTTAGGTGCTGAAAAAGCATTTGACAAAAATCCAACATCCATTCATTTTTAAAGTATTGGAGAGATCGGGGATACAAGACACATACCTAAACATAGTAAAGGCAATATACAGCAAGCCTATAGCCAACATCAAACTAAATAGAGAAAACCTTAAAGCAATCCCACTGAAATCAAGGACAAGGCAAGGCTGCCCACTCTTTCCATATCTCTTCAACATAGTTCTGGAAGTCCTTGTTAGAGCAATAAGACAGTTGAAGGAGATCGAAGGGAT